GAAGGGGATCCGCAATCTGTAGCAACGTTGGAGGGATGTCATAGATAATAATGGTGCTTATTGTTTTAAATAAATTGTTATCAAAAAAAATTTTGGATGACTTTAATGTTTGTAAAAAAACGAAATTTCATTTGCACCAACCTAGTATCTATTGCAGTTTTTTCAATAAGTTTTGTCTTTTAGGTTAAAGAATTAGTGAATCGTTGGTCAGGGTGTCAAATTGTGCACGGGCGACGACGACACTCGCAATTACAAGGATCTGTTGAAAGAGCAAATCAGGATGTTGAGGTTAGTTAGTTGTGCGAAATGAACATTTTTTAGCTAAAAGCAAAATTGCATTTAGAGAATCCTTTACACTCAACTACGTGAAGAGAAATCTACAAGGTGGGCCCGAATTCTTCCAGTTGTGCCATCGATGAAGAATCGGCGTATTCATCGAGGGATCGGAGGTTCGCTATTGGAAGCAATGTTTGGTCGGAAGATGACACTCGGCTTTGAAAAAGGAGAGCTACCAAAAAATCAAGGTGAAGACGAAAATGAGGTAGTAAAATTAGATTCTTTTAAGCAACTGAGCAACTGAGGCAACAAACATTCAAGCATCTGAGCCACGGAAACTGATCCGTCTTCTAGGTTCACTCTGAAGCCTAGGCAAAGCCCAGCACGTTCCGGAGTGGACGGTCGCATCGCAAAAACCAATCAAATTTTGAATTTTTAACACCCGCGATGCTCTACAAACAAAAACGGTCAGAAAATACCACCACACGGTGCGTCTAGGACCTAGTCAATTTCTGGCATTCTGGAGACCACAAGGACAAAAATACGAGACAGGTCAAAACAACGTAAGCCAACCACGGCCACCATAACTACTTGCCCTTCACTGGTTCGATTCCACTAATCTCCGAATCCCTTGATCGTTCGGCTCGTTCAATCTTTCGATTTTACTCGATCCTTCGTATCCCACGCTGTCCTCCTAGTTTAGTCGTTCCGTCGCTCGCGTTTGTTCACCTTTCCCTTGGTTTCTCGTTCGTGTTGACCATTCTAAAATAAAAACTACGAAAGAGGAAAATTCTCAAACAACAAAAATAGGAAAAATAACCGGTGGAAATCATCCACCTTAGTCTGCAACAAAATTGATCAGAAGGAAATTCTTTCCCACTTCTCTCCTTTTATACCCAAAGCGCGTATTTTAGGAAAGGCGCCAAACGGCCTACGGTATATTGGTCCAGAATTTTGATGGCAATTGAGATTTTGTGTACATTCGTAATTATCATCAAAATTCTGGGCCAATAGGGGTTTTTACCATTTGCAGTGCGGTGCTAATCCCGACGATGTTCAGGGCGCCCAGAGAGGCAAACATGAAATCGGGGAAGAAAACTCGAGGACAAATCAGCACACACATGAAGATATCCCATAGAAAGCCGATTGTCTGAAATGTTCTTTTTGATCTAGTCCTTAGCTATTCAGCTATTCCATTCTAAATCAAATCTTAGCTTCTGACCTTGCTTGGTTTGGCTTTACTGAAGCTCCCCCCCACAAAAGCCCTGTAGGAACCGGAGTTTTATCTCTGGCCTAGTAAACCCTGAATCTAACTCGAATTGAAGTAAAGTTGGAGACAGGATTTTGCTAGGCAAATGTTGACCCATTCAAACGTATTAGTTGCAGTCTTCTTTTTCTCTTTTTGTCCCCCATCACTGGGGATGTGCGCCGATCCCGCCAGTGAGTGCAATAGAAATAAAAGCTTGCATTTAGTTTTATTTGAACTTTAATATATTAGACAAGAGTCAAGAGATTTCTTTATCTTGTTTGTTTTTGTTCCCCCATCGATCCAGTCAGTGAGTGCAATAGCGGGCCGACGCTGTACGGCGAGAAGCAAGCTTCTACAAACCGTCTACGTCTAAAAACCAGAATCAATGCGGTGCTATAAGACTAGCTAAACCGTAAAAACTACACAAAGAATATGCTCTTGTAAATCGTTGTATCAAAACTGACTAGAAATCATAACATAAAAGTGTAGAAAATATAGATCGCTTAAGGGGATACTTATGCATTGTTTCCGGTGAGATGCTCCAAATATATGTCTCGACTCCATTTGATTGCATTAGAGCACATAAACTTCTTCATCAGGTGACCATACTTCAGGGAAAATTCAAAGAGACCATACGCTGATCCTTCGAAGAACCACTTCGTTGAGGAAATCCCATCCACCAAGGGGACCGACGTTCAGTGCATCGAGGAACACATCGAAGCCGAGCGACCGAAAGTGAGCAGTCAGGTGGTCGTGCTTGCGTTGCTTTTCTTGGCGAGCAGTGATGAAGGCGGTCACACGGTTCTCGGAGGGCATGGTGACGTCGATGATGGACCCCTTCTCTTGGGGGTCGATGCGCATGAGGTCGGGTCGAGCACCATCGCTGAGGCCGGGTAGTTGGTGATTGAGGCGCACCTCGGTGGTTGGCTATGATTGACCAACCAGAGGCCGAAATCAAGAGGTGTGGGTATCTATCGAGGAGGTTTGCCAGATGGAGGGCACAAAAAGAACACCTAGTTACTGTATAATTAACACTTTTTTGAGAAATAGATTTACTAAAACCAGCTAGCTTTTGAAAACTACAGTAACGTTGTCTCCATTTTTTTACCAATCTAGCTACTTGCCACAATTTTTAAGTCCATTAAACTCACTAAATGAAAAGCCAGGTGATATTTATACTCTCCAACAGTCTTTCCGTCTTACTCAACACCAAATAGATCCCCAAAATGTTCGACGGCAGGGTGATCGGTCCAATCAGATGATAAATTGACAAAGTATCGAAATATCGATTCTCAAAAATATCAATAGTTGTTGCCTCTTGCATCATTTTGGCTATAGAAATGTTTTTCTTGGATTTCCAATTAGCATTTTTTTTCACCTGTTTATGTATGTATACTCAACTAATGGAAAGGCCAAAAGTCGGTCTGATTCATTCGTTTCCAGGAATTTCAGACTAAACGCAAAAGACGTAGATAATGAGAAAGGTTGCAAAGAATTCAACAACCTTGACCTAATTTTGATCTCCTTAAAAACAATCAATTTCTGAATGACCAAGCAAATTTTTGTTCGCTCTGAGTTTATCCCATTTTCTTATCAAACTTTTCCCCCTTGAGGTTCAATTTTAATAACCCGTCAATCACATCTAATCAAACAGAAAACAGCCCATGAGAGTTGCACAATTCCCACGGGTAATCAAGAAAAAATGGTGATAACTTCTAGAAGCATCAATATGTACTTTGACTCGTGAACTTATCAAAACTGTTACGAGAATTTTGGGAATATTAGCTTATTGGGTTAGAAAGTCGTAAAATCTGAAAATTTGAGATGTTACCATGTTAAAAGTTGTGAATTCTTCAACGATCGTTTCTTCAATCATAGATTTGACATTATTAGATGTAAGATTATGGTAGTTTTTGGAAATTGATACGTTTTAGAAAAAACTCTACTCCTTTAAGTATTTAAGTAAAGGAATTTTTACTTAAATCTATTTTCAAGGAATGCAAACATTTTTGAAATTTTTTAGATTTACCAAAGAACAACAAATTTTTCTTTTCAAAATTTTGAACGGCACATTTTTATAGCATTTTAAAAACCCATATTACTATCTTCTCGTATGGTCAATGTGAACGCAGAAAAACTCGTGATATGGAAACCCTGCAATCTTTAGGTCATTTCAAAACCCAAGAAAAATTCCCTAAAATCTTCGAAACAATAAACTGATGACCGGTGCTGTCACTTTTTTCTCCAGAAAAGACCAGAAACTCGAGTCCCGAAAAAAAGACAAAAAAATTCCCGCGCTGAAACTGATAACAAGCTAATCGATACAGGTATTTGTAAATATTAACTTACTAGCATACTAACTGGGATTTACTAACAGAGTATGTTTCTTTCCAATTGATGAGGCGCTGTAAATGATGCGGTAGACTGGGTAATAGGGATTTGAGTAGAAATGGGATGCGGAAAGTGGGTACTTTGAATATGAATTGAGCTGAATACGTCATCAACTAGACAATTAATGGTTTTTGAAGTGCGATTACAGTGATTTAATTCTCATAGTTTCAGGATTCCTCTAACTTGAATGGAAACATGAATGAAATGTTTTCCTTTCAAGAAAATTAAAATCCAAGCCAGGAAATGATCCGCTTTAATCTCATCTCAGAAAACCATCGCCCATTAGTTCTTTCGAAATTTTTGGTTAACATTTTTGATTTAACAGTGATTTCCACGAAACATAATACAAGAGCTGCAAAGCGACGAATCACATTTTAGACTCTCAAGACAATCAGAAGGATTTTTGCGGATGTCTTTAAAGTATTGATTTTGCGTTTTCTAGATGATTTTCAAGGAGGATGTCAAGATTTTCAAAAACTACTGAATGAAGTAGTTGAACTTCAGTAAACTTCAGTAACTTCAGTAATTTGAAGCATTTGCCGAAAGCCTCAAAGCCGGTTAAAAAAAGCCACCAAAATCGACTAATCCCTGAAACAGCGATAACAAAATTGGTGTTCTAGATCAGAGAATTCTTCAAATTACCCAAAAATAACCACATTCAAAATTTGTTTCCATTTCAAAAAGCTAAACGAGCGCAGTAATGGATTTGAAAACATTTTAGCTCAAAATTATGATAACCAAGTTTTCCCATCATCATAATCGGCTGACTTTGAAAATCTCTCTAACAAATCAAAAATAAATCAGTTTCTCAAAATTCTTACTTCAAAAACTTACCGGATCAAAAATCTCTTGAAAATTTCGAAAAGAACTTCCCTCACCACCCCGAATTGCCCTTTTTAAAACCTGTCACTCAGATGTCACCTTCAGGAATTGCCGAAAATTTGCGGATGGAAATTGGGGATCAAGAAATGATAAGAAAGATGGGCATGTGTCAAGATTTGATTTGAAAACGAGTATAAATGTCGGTTGAATCGAGTGGTTCGGTACCAGTTCGGTCAGAGCCCTTTGTCTCTTCCTCAGAGAGATGAAACTGCTGGCTGCATTCGGCCTTTTGGCCATCGCCCTCGCTGCGTCCTCCCGTCAATGGGAAGAACGGTCGTTCAACAAGGGAAACACCTACGAGTTCGAGTGGAAGGGACAGGTTCGTATTTGAGAGAATACTGTAGGAAAGAGGTAGGATCGGGGGAGTATGGTAAGGGAAAGGACAGTTTAGTCGATAGGGATCACTCAAATAGGATATAAGAAGGGCTACTGCATTGGGTACCTAGAGAGAAAAGACAAGTTGATGGATGGGATTGGAAGAGGACCTAGAATAGGGTACTGTATGCATCGAAGTACTGTAATCGACACTCTAAAAGTTTTTGAACAGTCTTTGAGCCGCTTCTTTGAGAACCTCCCAAATGACTCGATTTCCTCATCAACATTCATTTCCATCCCAATTTTCAGATCGTCTCGGGCGTGCCCGTGAAAGGATCCTCGTCTCATTCCCTTCAACAAATCCACTCAAAAGTCTTGATCACTGTCAACGAGAAACACTCGATCCTCCGTCTCGACAATGTCAAGCTTACCAATGGCCACAAGCAGCTCACCGAGCCACGCATCATCTCTGAGGTGGGGAAATGGGAAAGAAAGAGATGTTTGGGAAATAGATCAGAGATCTACAATTGATCTCAATAACTGAGTATCTTTCCCAACGATGGTCGCCATTTCCAGGTGTCGCTCGAGGAGTCGCAATTGACCTCCGAGCAACGCGAGCAAATCAAGCTTCCAATCCGCTTCCGTTACCACCAAGGAATCATCTCTGAGGTGAGATTTGGCTAAAAGATTCGAGTCCTAATCCTTTCCATTCCAATCATTCCCTTCTTCAGATCGTCTTCTCGGAGGAGGAATCCGCCTGGTCGGAGAACATCAAGCGCTCCATTCTCAACATGCTCCAAGTTCAAATGAGCCCACGCAAGACCCAAGAGGAGTACAACACGAAGACCGTCTCCAACAACAAGTTCTTCACCGTCACCGAGGTAGATTTGGATGATGAAATTGAGATTGATAGAGTGATTTGATAGAAAGTTCCGATCAAATCCAGTCTTTTCACTTGAGAAATCTACTCTTTTCAAATCCTGCAAATCTACTAATTAACTACCTAGAGCCTGATCGAAAACATTCTTAAACTAGCCCTCAAACCCAAGTTCTCCCTTTCCAGCGCACCCTCGAGGGTGAGTGCGAGGTCGCCTACACGATCGTCGAATCGGAGAAGAACCGCGAGGAGAAAGAGATCACCAAGTCGCTCAACTTCGAGAAATGCCCCAAGCGTATCGATATCCGCTATGGACCCCGTTACTCTGCTGGTTTGTGTTAATCAAGAAATGGATATCCACCAATCATCTCCATATTCAATACTCCTTTTCCAGAGTGCTCCATGTGTGAGGCCACCGATGCTCGCCCCGAATCTCAAACTGTCATCAACTACAAGGTTCGCGGAGAGGATGAGGAGCGTTTCCTTATCACCGAGGTCGAGCTCAAGTCCGAGTGAGTGTTTGGGATTGATCTAATCTAGGGTTTCCAACATTCATCATCCACCATCCAACCATTTCATTTCCAGGTACGTCTTCACCCCCCTTCTCGAAGGATCAAGAGATGCTCGCCACCTACGTCCACCAAAAGATGCGCCTTGTCAACATCAAGTCGGCTGAGCGTGTTGAGGAGCCCCGCAACGGAAAGAAGTCTTCCCTTCTTTACAACTACGAGATGGAGTTGGCCCGTGAGAAGTTCTGGATGAACGGAGACGAAGAATCCTACACACTCACCGGATTCGCCGGAGTCCCCAAGAAGGAGCTCATGGACAAGTACATCCGCCTCACCCTTGCCTCGATGGAGGAGTCCGAGAAAGACGGAGTCACCCTTGAGACAAACCACAACTTTGCCCGCATCGTCGAGGTCTACCGCATGTGCACTGAGCGTGAGGTGCAAGAGATCCACCGCCACTTCTGGGAAACCGAAGTCTATGCTGAGCAGATCGAGAAGGTTCGCGAGTTCCTCACCGATGCTCTCATTGCTGCCGGAACCAAGGTCACCATTGAGCACTTTGTTGAGAAATGCGAGAAGAAGCAAATCTCCCCAATCCGTGCCGCTATCGTCATCAAGGGACTCGTGAACACCCGTGTTCCATCCGAGAACATTGTCAACTCACTCTTGCGTTTGGTCAAGTCCAAGGTTTGCCGTGAGGAGCCAATTCTCCGCCAATCCGTCCTCCTCACCACCGGAGCTTTGATGAACGGTGTCTGCTCAAAGAAGGAGGTCACCAAGGAATCGTGGGCCATCGAGATCGAAGGAGAGAAGGAATGCCGTCGTGAGCTCAAGACTGAATGGTTGAAGGAGTGGGAAACCCTCTTCGAATCGGCCACTTCCCGTTACGAGAAGGTCCTCGTCCTCAAGGCTGTTGCCAACTCTGCCCTTGATGTCTCCATTCATTTCCTTGAGAAGGTCATCTATGATCGCCGTCAACCACTCGTTGTCCGCCAATCCGCCGTTGACGCTCTTCGCATGGTGGGTTTGACAGTTAGAAGAACTAACTTTTAAAAGATCTACTCTAAGAAGCAATTAGTCGCCTTAAAAACTAGCTTCTCATTCTCGTTGACAGCCCAAACTCTAGCTCAATTCTAATAATCTGATCTTGAACTATTAAGCCAAAACACTTGTCAAATCAACATCCAAAGATTGTACTTACACACAAATTCCAGCTCCGCGACCAGATGCCCCGCAAGGTGCAATCGGTGTGCCTTCCCCTCTTCAAGTCCCTCCGCGAGCCAGTCCCACTCCGCATCGCGGCCCTCTACCAACTTGTCCACTCCCGCCCCGAGCGTTCCCTTCTCGATCAAATCGTTCACCAACTCAACATCGAGCCATCCACCCAACTCCGCTCTTTCGGAGTCTCTCTTCTCCGCTCGTTCTCCGAGTCCAAGAAGAACCCATGTGAGGCCAAGCTCGCCGAGGACATCAATGTCTCTCTTCGCATGCTCCGCTCTTCTCCACTCTCCACCTCCACCCATGTCCATCTCCCATGGTACTCCCGTCTCTTCGACTTCGGAATGACCATGGATGTTGCCTCAGTCTTCTCCAACGAGTCCGTTCTCCCACACGAACTTCTCGCCTCGGTCGACTCTGTCTTCGCCGGACAATGGAACAAACACCTCGTTCAAGTTGGACTCTTCCAAAACAATCTCGATCAAGTGCTCATCCCACTCCTCAAGAAACTCGAGAAAACCGAGACCGAGATCGTTCTCCGCGGACAACGCTCTTCATCGAAGGCCCCACTCCGTGAAGCCCTCAAGGAAATCGTTCGTCAGATGAAGATCCAATCCCGCCAAAACGAGAATGGAGAGGGATGCCTTCGGTATGCTCTACATCCGCTACAAGAACTTGGACTATGCTGTCCTTCCCGTTGAGGAGGAACTCATGGAGAAGATTGTCCGCTCTGATTCGTCGATCTCTTCATCCGAGATGATCCGCAAGATCGCCAAGGGATTCCGTTTCGAGGGAGTTCTCTCTGGATACGTCTACGAGCACGTCCGCATCGTCCCAACCACCCTTGGACTCCCACTCCAGGTACAGTGATCTTTTAAGGTCTCTAGATACGGTCTTCTTAGCCCTAATAGCCAGTTACCGTTAAAATAGTTGATTGCTGATCGATAATATCCAAGAACTGCCTTATATTCTTTCGCCTATTGGCCGAATTTATCTCTAGACATCAATAACCAACATCTAATCTGAACCCATCTATCCCTAAAATTTCCAGGTCACCTCCAAGCTCCCAACCGTCGCCCACATCAAGGCCCACATCAAGGCCGAGATCTCCCCCGAAGATGTCTCTCCGTGTCGAGATGGAGCCCTCATTCGTCTCCACCCATGTCACCGAAATGACCGTCTTCTCCCCCGAGATGCACATCGGATCTCGTGTCTTCCACTCGATCCAATCAACTCTTCCAATCCACGGACAAGTCGAGTACAACGATGAGAAACAACAACTCAAGGCTGTCCTCCGTCTTCCCAAGGAGGAGAAACGTGTTCTCCTCGTCGAGTCTCGCCCAACCACTTTCGTCCGCTCATTCAACAACAAGCAAGTGCCAGTTCTTGAGGAGAAGACCATCCGTATTCCATCATTCGAGAAGACCTCCGTCCACTACGAGCAATCCTACGGAGAGGAGCACTTCGGTCTCCGCACTGAGGTCATCGGATCCGTCCACCGCCACGTCTTCGACAAGAAGTCCCCCGAGTCGATCCTCTTCGGAGAGAACCACGTCCAGGTAAAGATTTGGAAATAGTACATCGAAGTGAAAAGCTCAGAATAGTAGTACATACCACTTGAACCAAACCCAGCTCCAGATCCAAAACTCGAATTTCCAGGTTGTCCTTGTCCCCACCGCCGAGTCCGTGAAGGAGATCGTCCTCGAGGTTGAGCCCAAGTACACCAAGATGGCCTCATCCGAGTACGAGTCACCCCGCTACGATGAGACCTTCACTGAGAAGGAGTTCGGTTTGGAGACCTCTGACGAGTCTGAGGAGCGTGCTGATGAGCGTGTCTCTCGCCGCACCCACTCCAAGAAGCACTACGAGTCGATGAAATCGTTGAAGGGACACGAGGGACGCGTCAACTTCCGTCTTTACACCGTCGGAGGACCAAAGACCATCAAGGGAGAGATGTCCGTGAAAGGATCGTGCGATGAGGAGATCAAGGTGTGCCGCTTCGATCTTCAATGCAAACGCTCGCCACTTCTCGAGAAGGAGCGCCGCGACTGGGAACTCCAAATGAACGGAGAGGTCGTCCTCCCCGAATCCCCCAAGACCATCAAGGAGTTGAAGGAGATGCGCCACAAAGAAGTCGAGGGAACCCTCAAGTGCCGTTGGGGATCTGAGGAGAAGAACGAGATGACCATCCGTCTCCAGAAGACTCAATCCCAAGAGATGGCCCGTTTCGTCAAGGAGATCGACTACGAGAGCAACAAGGGACTCGAGAAATACGACATGCTCCGTGAGGCTTCCAAGCTCAACAAGTACGTCGTCCTCGTCGACAAGGACCTCTCCAAGGACAACGAATTGGTCTTCCGTCGTCTCTTCGACCTCTTGAAGTCCGAGTTCTACATGTACGGACAAGTCGAATCGATCAGCTCCGACTCTCGCCGCTTCAAGATCGAGGCCGTCGTCGAGCCCGAGGAGTGCCGTCGCGTCAACTTCACCGTTGAGTGCAATGGAGAGAAACTCATCGTCAAGGAGGCCTATTCCCCAATCCGTATCCCATTGATGTCTCTCGGATCTCGCCGTGTCTCCCTCAAGGGATTGAACAACAAGAACTCGTGGACCTCGGTCTTCATGCCAACTTCCGAGTGCGAGGTTTCCTCAAACAAGGTGTCGACCTTCGATGGACTTCTCTACAAGACCCCATTGACCACTTGCTATTCAGTGCTTGCTAAGGATTGCTCTCAAGAGCCCGAGTACGCTGTGATGATGAAGAAAATGGAGAAGGACTCTGAGGAGAAGAAGATCAAGATTGTGACTCAAGAGAAGGAAATCGAGTGCGAGTTGAAACAAGAGAAGATCGTTTGCCAGGTTGATGGACGCCGTGTCGAGGACGAGGAGGCTCTCTACGATATGGGAATCAAGCTTATCGGTTGGTTTTGAATTGAAATTGAAAGATGAGTGGGTCTTTTAGGAGAATCATCATGCGAGATCACCATCCCAAAGATGACCATCCGTTTCGATGGATACAAGGTCGAGATCAAGGCTGACAAGCGCACCGAGAACACCCAATGCGGACTTTGCGGACATTTCGATGGACGCCGCGACAACGAGTTCCGCCGTGCCGACAACGAGGAGACTGGTGGGTGGAAAAGAAATTGGATAGGAATTGAAATTGAGCTGAGATTGGGCTGAATGGGTTTTAGATGTTAGATAGAAGCTGGTTGCTCCTGAAGAGGTGTATTCCAGAGCCTAGATTCACTTGCAATACCTAGATTAGTCACTCATTCATTATTGGAATTCTCAAATCGCTTCTCTGATCAACCATTTTTCCTTTTCAGAGGACATCGAGGAATTCCACCGCTCGTGGCTTCGCCGTGACAACGAATGCGAGGTCGAGGAGTCGAAATTGAAGGAGAAGAAGAACTACGGAGTTGAGTCTGATGAGGAGGAACGCTACGATTCCGAGGAATCTTTCTGGAACCCCCGTGAAGATTTCGAGGAGGAGAACATGGGAGAGAAGCGATCACGCAAAATGCTCAAGAAGAACCTCAAGAAGCACATCAGCCGCAAGAACATCCGCGACGAGGAGGAGAACACCTACGGTTGGTTGAGCGGAGGGGATTGGGCATAGCTCTAAGAAGAACTGTGATGGTTAGACATTGAACTACTAGTCTGAGTCTCACTTGTTCCATCTCATCCATTCTATTTCCAGAGCCCGAAAACGAGATCGTGATGGTTGAGCGTGAGGGAAAGACTTGCTTCTCGATGGAGGAACAACCCAAATGCCAGCCAGGAGATGAGCTCATTGAGACCGAGAACCGCAAGGTGAAATTGGCTTGCCTTCCACGCTCGGATCGCAGCACTCGCCGCATTGTGAACGGCCTTAAGCGTGGAGAGGAGTCGATCATGGAGGAGGTGAGTGTGAAGGGCAAAAATAAAAGAATAGTAAGGGAGAAAAGGATAGACAAATGGGGAGATTGGGCTGAAGATTGCAGAGACTTACTATGTTAGTCTGTTAGCCTACCTTAGTTCGAGTAAGAGTGCTTAAATAGTTGAGGATCATGGCACAGTCTGTAAGTTGTTGATTGAAGAGCTTAACTGCTTGAGCATTACAATTCCAATAGACACTTCACTACTCCAATTTCTATACCCTATCAAATATCCAATCGCCTTGAATTCCTTCATTTTCCAGATCCGTTCCCTTTCAATGTCTCTCACCGAGCGCATTGAGTTGCCCAAACTTTGCCGTGTCTACTAAACACTCATCGATCAATCCAATCTAATCAACTATAGAAATGAGCTTTTTTTTAATCACCGGCCATCAACAATCCTAGTTTGAGCACCCATTCGGTGCGAATGCAATAAATTTTCATCAGCAATTTGTTTTTTGAATGGAGAACACTAGAAATGAAAAAGCGAAAGAAAGGGGAAGAGAAACAAAAGTAAAGAATTGAGAATGGATTGCTTTCAAAAAGAAAACAAAGTAGGTGAATGTTGTTTACTTTGCTAATAAGAACTAAGAATGTTAAATTTTGAAATTAAAGCTTTAAGTCCAAACTTTGAAAGGAAAAGACAAGCTTAAAATGGTTTAAAATTGTATCAAAAAGTTCTGACACTTGTTCTAACACGAGTCTCGGTCTTTTGTACTTTATTGTACAAACTTCGTTTAACCAACCAAAATTTATTTGTTATCTGTGTTTGTCTTTAACCCAATGGGCCACTTACATGAGTTCAAATACAAATTTTATCAACCCCCAATTTCCCTTTCCCTTTCCCTTTTTTTCCCCCCCCTTTTTTGGCCCTTTGGTCCCCCCCCCCCCCCCCTTTTTTTCTTTAATTTTTCTGTAGATAGTTTCAATAAGTGCAACAAAATAAAACCAAAATCATAAAGATTGGTCCACTTAGAAGAAAGTTACGGCGAGTTGCGCAAAGGACCCAGTTGCCCAAATGACCCTGTTGCGCAAAAAAATTGCGGAAATTAGCCTACCTCCCGTTTTAACATCATATTCGGGGAAGAAAAGATATTCAGGCAAGACAAAAATTAAGGGGAATTTGTACTTTTCCGTACTCGTTTCACGTTTTCTTGCTTTAGATGTAAATTTGTAATTCTGAATGTAAATAGCAGCGGCAGTGCTAAAGATTTCGCACAAAAATTTTTAAAAGTGTTCTTTCAAAATCCACCTTCAACAACCTTGCTGAACAGGACTGGTTGGGACAGGACATCTTTAGTTTTAAAGCTAGTCTTGATTTCTTTGGTGGGCTGAAAAAAGATTTCAAAATCTTCCCAGTAAATCTCAGGCTTGTTGCTTGTTGATTTATGCATTCCCTAAGCAACTGCTTGACCATGTTCTTTTCAAAATGCCCTTTCAACTAACTACACCCATGTGATTCATCCCCTCAACAACATCCCCAAGTGAAGAGACCCATTTCGTAACGATTTATCGCCACCCAAATCACTCGTAAATAAGATAAAGAAAGCTTTCTGAGGATAAGAAAAACGTTTGGGTCATTGTGTGCCAAAAGTCTTTTCAAAGCAACTGTTTTCCCATTTTCTTAAAAGCTCATGTTTCACTCGCTCACTGTAATTATTCCTTTCCTATTCGCTATTTCTGGTATGGTACATTGACTTTTCAATTTTCAAAAACGTAATTTTGTAAATCTTCAAGCTGTTGTTAATTCTTTCTTAAATTGTTAATTCTAAATCGTAAAGCTATAGGTTTGAGTTTACGAAAAAGTTCGAGGCTGTGAATTAAAAGAGTTCTCTTCTCGAATTTGAACTAAATTTATTGAAACTTGTCTTTACAGACTGCATTCTTAAATTAAAGTTGATTTTTGAAAGTATTCAGTCTACAGGCAAGTATTTAACTTTAGAGACACCGGAATTAATCCTCTACAATTCTTTTAAACTTATCCAATCAAAGTTGATCACTTACAGAAGCAAAGATTGACTACAAGAACATTTAACAAAATATCGAATAGTTTTATTGTTTGGAAATCATAAAAATCTCTTTAGCCCTTTCCCATCAACTCGAGGAAGGCTCTGGTGATGAGGATCCCTGTCTATGCTTCAAATATTCTCTAAAATTCACAAATCTCTCCGATGAATACACTTTCAAGATCCCGGATGGTCAATGTGATTTGCATTGTCAAATGATTGTGAAAAACTCTCTGAAAGAAGAAGAGAATAAAACGATTGGATATCAGATTTCATTCAAATTGGAGGGCGCAAAACGAGCGATTTTACCGTGCACCCAACTGAACATTCGACCCGTTGGCGGACAAAGGATTAAGTGAGTGATTAAAAATTTGATAGGTTTTGCAATTCTGACAATTGTTTGATCTTCAGGAATGTGCTTTGTGCTTGTGCACATTCTTTCTAGCGCATTTAATTCCTCATTTTTCATGTGATAAGGCCTTTTTTGAGTTTGGCAATCAATTGACAATTTAAAAGCTAATTTTCCGTCTGTTCAAATTCTGATTACGTTTATTTTTTAACTTTTTGAAATCTTTTAGAGTCGTTGTCGTCGATCCGCGGGCTCCAATCGATGTTCCTTTCAACGAGTTTACTTTGGTGCACAAATGGATGAACGAAGGGTATCAATGGGAGAAACATGAGGTTGGGAAACTAGTAATTGCCATTGCCAAATAAACAAATCTAATTTTCATCTCACCGATTAGCTAAAATTTCTTTAGTTTTCTTGATTCTAAACCCTTAACCGAAGCTACCGTATTTTCCCTAATAGTAGTGCACCTTAAGCTTCGCCTAAATTGCTCGAAATCTGGAAAAGCGTTTATCAGAACCTAGCAGAACCTATCGATGGGGTCGCAAAATGTAGCTGACGATGAGATCATGTGGAGGATTAGAGTGTTGAGCTTCTGTGAAAACTTGGAAACCGTAAAACAGTCATGAACTCGGCTCGGTGGGGTACACTACTATTAGGGAAAATACGGTTTCTATCCTACCAGGACTGTTCTAAAGCAAATTTTTCCAGTCCAACTAGAGCTGGACTGATTTTACTGTGGATTTAGTCTACAAAAAAAGGTCAGCAAAAAGACAGGCCTAGATTCTGAGCCAATCTAGTGTACGGCTGATAAAGAAACGAATCTGGACCAGCCAGAGGAACGATCTAGACCTAGGTTTTGGCCTGCTTCTAATTTAGCAAGACCTTGGCTAGCTTAATTGGCCTTTGGCCTGACTTAACCTTGTTCACGAAAGTATCCGGTCCAATCGGGAGCCAGGACTGGAGCCTGGGATCTTGTCTGTCTTATAGCCCCGGTTGGATAATCCCATGTGAACTCACATTAATTTTAATATGTTATTGAGGTTACTCTATAGCCGTACAGCAGCCTTTAGAACAGAATTTTAGATAATTTGTAATTCACACTATAAAAACTATCCAAAATTCAGTAAGCAGTTTCAGTATGATGAAGACGATTATGACATGTGGATGACGATTAAGCCGAAATATTTCGAGAAGCAATGAGAAGTGAGGGATGTACAAACTGGATATTGTTCTCAAAATTGATCCAATAAATAAATCATCTAAAAATCACAGGTAGTTGGCAATTTGGCGACTAGAAATCAACAAAAAATTGGCTTGACTATTGCTTCAGGTACTCGCAAATCTTTTTGATGTCCGGATGGGTGTAGATGTAGTTCTGAAAAGTGAATAAAATGAATATTTAATGAAAAGTTACGATCATTTTCTCTAAGGTGCACCTTTTAGAAAACATGGCAATTATAGAATACAGACTAAACCCGGACTTGAAGGACTTATTGTAATTGTTGTTGCACAGTCATGGACAAAAGTCTTGGCGGCTCCTGGGTCGCAACTTTCAAACGCGAATTTATGAACCTTTCCGAGAGGCTATAAAAAAGTTATCACAAGTATTTTTAAGCATTTCTACTCTACGTTTAGCTATGGCCAAGCATTGAACCCGAAATTTTATTTTAAACAACAAAAATGAGTGTAAACGACAAAAAGGTCCCAAAAACAATGGACAAAAGTCTTGGCGGCCCACTACAATACTCATTTTTTCTATTTTTTTGTGTATCTTGCCTATATTTTTATAATCTTTTAATTTTTTTTGCAGATGCCTGGAGCATGAAGGTTTCCAGTTGCATATGCGTTATGTCTGATGCGTTCAACTGTCCTCATACCGCATTTGAATTTTTCCGCGATATCCTTTACTTTCTCTCCTCTATTTCTTGCTTCTACAATTGCTTTTTTTTTGTCTGGCGTTGATAAATACGCTCCAGGCATCTGCAAAAAAAATTAAAAGATTATAAAAATATAGGCAAGATACACAAAAAAATAGAAAAAAATGAGTATTGTAGTGAGCCGCCAAGACTTTTGTCCATTGTTTTTGTGACCTTTTTGTCGTCTACACTCATTTTTGTTGTTTAAAATAAAATTTCGAGTTCAATGCTTGGCCATAGCTAAAGGTAGAGTAGAAATGCTTAAAAATACTTGTGACAACTTTTTTATAGCCTCTCGGAAAGGTTCATAAATTCGCGTTTGAAAGTTGCGACCCAGGAGCCGCCAAGACTTTTGTCCATGACTGTATAAGAATGATTCGAAAATTCGGAATTTCAAATCCAATGTCAGATGTAAACAAACCCTCGCAATCCAGAGCATTTCAATCAGAATTTCATCATCTCTTGCATCCAATTGAATATCCGATGGGAGAGGAGGAGAAAAACGGAAGAACGGGATGCCCAAAGCGAGTGAGAAACCGGCTGATCGACTCACGATTACACCGTTAGCGGCTGAGATCTGGAAAGGAAGCTTGTTAAGCGGAAATCGCGTTAAAAGCTTATTGGGAATTATCGGGAAATCTCAACGCAAATGTAAAGATATTTAGCCAATAAAAACTCTCATTTCCCGTTAATTTCCCGATAACCAAGTCTACTGGAAAGTTTCGTTTTATTGTAAAACGTCTTTTTTGGGGTGCACTTTGTGCTCAAAAATCATTCAAACAGACTCTTTCTGGAGCATTTTTAGTTTAGAAAGATTACGGTAGCTTTTCAAATTTCAAATTGCTCTTTAGATTAGAGAAAGCAGATAAAATCTCAACGAAAGATTACAGTAGCTTTTATCCATTTTTTTAGAAAACTCAATTTCCCCCAATTTCCCTCACTCACTTGTTCAGTCAACATGTGTAATGTATGCATTAAATTAAGATTGAATTGATTCATCAGCTTCTGCCAAATTCCCCCATTTGGCTGACTTTCATTCATTCGACGTAAAGGTGGGATCCCGGTACCAAGTGATAAGAAAAGTGATGGTTTTTCCTGAAATATAATATTTTCTAATAGTTAGTAAGTAATTGTTAACCTCATTGACTCCCAATGTTTCCATCATTTGAATATCGGAGAGAATTTCGGCTGACGGATTATTTGCAATCAGGCCCCCGTCCATGTAAACGCCGAATGGGGCTGTGAAATAGGTGGGAGCCGCACTGAAATAGAAAAATGTATTGAAAATTTCAATTTTACAGTTTTGGCTTTTAAAAACACAAGATTTTGGTCAGCTTATAAGATTTCTAAGAAAACGCAGACTCGATTTTCATTATCTTGCTAACTAGCTACAATAAAAATGAAGAATTAAAGGATGCGTTTCGCTTCGTAAGTACATTTCCGACAGATTAATAAAAGCCGTGTTTCATTGTTTTGCTTACCTGGAGCATCTAGCCGCTTGCCACAATTTGATATCTCTGCCATTTCCGAGTTTCGCAAAGTTTTTCGCTGACTCGTTTGGCAGGTCGTAGCTTCGGAAGAGCACGATTTCAGCTGGACTTACGTCCACTTGAGCAGCCGTTACCAGTAGTCTGTAATTTGGATTCTTCAAAAACTTGACAACAATAATATAGAGCTTAGCCATATCGTTACTTTCTTTTTGACATATATAAAGAGCTCTTTAAAAATTTGACCTCTTTTTCACGTCACCAAACTTGCGATCTGTCCCGAATTCACCGATGAGGCACGCCTCGAGAGTTTCCGGAGAATATGGACGTTCTCCCTGAAATTTTGCTTTACAGTGTTTTGCACGGAAATTAAAAAGCTTAATAAACAACTCAAGTATTAGAATGTAATCTTAGACTTACCCTAAACACTTCATCTTTGAAACGAAGATAGAGGCGGATGCAGTCGGCGGGCGATCTCCCCAATGCAAGTCCGATCGCCAAAATCGATCCAGTACTTGTTCCTAAATCAAAATCGACCCGGTACTTGCACATTTTGAAAACTATTCTGTAATCTTTTAGAAAACTACCGTATTTTAGTATCATTATTTTAGTATTTTAGTATTTTAGTATCCGCTAAATTTTAGTATCATTCGTCATAAGGAATCACAAGACTCAGCCAGTGATATAAAAGTTGGGCTGATCGAATGAAAACTGACAGCTTGACTAGGGTAGTTCTCTAAAATAAGTGTTTCTTAGAAAACACATTGGCCTAGAATTTTGGAAAACTGTTTTACCTCCTAGCCACTCAATATTCGAGACGATCGAGTTTCCCGTCAATCGCTCGAGCTCGAAAAGCATCTAGACTTGATTATAGTTATTAATACGTAAATTTAGCATTAATATTGAAATTTACATGTAAAGATATTCAGCTAACAGTTGGAAAATCTAAAATTTAAAAATTTCCTCACTTGTGCTTCGACTAGTCCCCGAATACCACCTCCATCCAACGAGAGCGCGATTTTTCGATTCGTTTTCGGTTTGCTCATTAAAGCGTCTCGGATTTTGATTGTATTATCTAAATGTGCATTTGTCTAGTTATAAATTAGATAATCTATATTTTAGACTTCAAAATTTACCCGGTAACAGATGATCTCTCATCGCTTCTTGCAGCTTCGGCTCCAACGCTGTTTGGAAAATTTTTCGGAGTTGTGGTCTAAAAGGTTAAATTTGCCAAAAAAAGGGGCTGACTTTAAATTCATATTTCTTTTTGCATTTTTCAAAACTTTACTTATGTTTTTCTTGCGCAAATTGTAAATCGGAGGGCTCCATTTGAGCGCCGAGCAGGATCAGGAGTTGCAAGATCATCGGGCGGGCTTTCTGAAACGCAAACTTTAAAAACTGAATAAATTTAGATATAAATATTGGGCACTTGTCATTTTTTACATTTTTCGTCAAAGTTTGCATTTAAAAATGGGGGAAAACTGACAAGTAGACCCGGGTGTTTTGTTGATTTTCCCCCGTCAACTTGCATTTAAAATGCAAAATTTCTGCGTAATAAGCTAACTATAAGCTGGCATTTTTTGTAATGGGTTGCCAATGACAAAAGGGGCGAGCGCGTATCGAATGTTCCGCAATCTCGCTCGTCCAAGCATGGTCTGCGGACCAGATGCCAGGTTTTAGGAAACAAGTTCGGTTTGCTAATTTGTGCCTAAACATTGATTTCTCGTTACATCCACCATTTAACAAGCGAAATTTGTTTCCTAAAATGTAAAATCTGGCCCGCAGACCGTGCTTGAGCTCGTCAACTCACTCAACAGACCCATGAACGGGTTGATTTGACAAAACCGGTCAAATTTTAATCTGATAAATCATACCTACCATCGATTTACTTCGGTCTCTATGTACTAAAATGTATTAATCTACATTGCTTACTTGTAACGCCAATTGAGCACACGTCTCGCCTTTAGCCGTTTTTTTGCTCACATCAGCCCCGAACGAAACAAAGCACACACAAGCTGCCAAGTCGTCGCGATTGATGGCTAAATTCGTTATTAAAATTAAATTTATTTATGTGTAGTAAGATATATTATGACTAGCTCGTTACATAGTTAATAATTCCTTAGATACCTGCTTGCAACGGGGTCAGTCCACTGCCATTTGGCAGCTCGAAACAGCTCCTGTCCGCGAATAGGCACAAAACACGGAGAATCTAAAACTTTTATAGATATACTTATCAAAAGTTTAAAACTACTGCCAGTTTAAATTCTTATGTAAATTTTGAGCGTTTACATCGGGATCCGGAAGTGGTTTGTGCAAAATCGTGTCCCCGGACAGGTCCATTTGGATCAACCAATCGAGTTGTGAACTGCACACGAGGATGCCGATTCTGAAACAAATTATATAACTAGATTTTTAAGCTCTTGCTATCAATCAAAAGATATTTAAATCTGGACTTAAGGCACATAATCAGGCCAGACCCAGCTAGAAGTCAGATCCAGATCTTTCAAAAGTCTCTGGCTCTCGTTAAGTAGTCTGGCTAGTTATCCAGAATGTTCTAACCGGGCCTAAGCTAATGGTGAGCGAAGCCAACTCTTCTGACATGCTTTTTGTAATCAGGAAGTGAAGGAATTGGCAAGAAAACGTAGATTTCCAAAGAGGGGATTGAACTCTCGGCCTTTTGCTTTCCGGGCAATTGCTCTAACCACTGAGCTATCCGATACTTTAACTTCCCAAGAGAAAACGAGAAAGAAGAGAGGGGAGAAGAAAAGAAAGAAAGAAGGTAAGCCAGGCAAAGTCAGAAGAGGGGGGACAGCGCAGTAGCATGACTTCTCTCTTGGCTCTGCCTTGCCTGGTCCGGAAAACTTGCATTTTGAACAGCTCACTCACTTTCTCCATTTATCGTAATCTTTAACGACGTAGTGCTGAAGACAACGAAGCACTTGCTTTTTGGCGTCACGACAAGCGATTACATCCGAGAGAATCACCTGAATATAAAGTTAAATTATAAACCACTCTTTTTGCAATACTATACGTAAAACTAAAATTTGTACCTGTAATCCTTCCAGATTCTCATTGCAGATGGCCTCTTGGAGTGGAGTGAAACCAGACATGTCCTCGGCGGTGACACAAAGTTGAATGGCTTGCGCTGTATTTGTCGACAGAAGAGCCTAGATTATCTGGATTATTATTTCTGGTAGATACTTATCGATTAAAGCTAATGCAGAATAGAAAATGGATTATGGTAGAAATATGGCAAAAATATGGCAAGATACCAATACCAAATATGGCAAGATACCAAAGCCAGAGTATGCAGCGGTTTTTTCTTGAACTTTTTGAAGCAATAGCCAGACCGAGATCAAAGCTAATTTCTACAGTTTTTTCTACAAATGTGACATTATTCAATTTTTAGATATTACTAAGTATATTTAATATAATAATCACTTATACTTGAATCCGAGTAAATCTAGGAGCCAGAAATCTGGTCAAAGCTAGGATTCAAGACCTTTCTCAGGTACCTAACACGGTACTCCTTGTACTATAGTCAAGTCTAAATATATTTTGATATCAAGATTATATCTAATTTAAATATAGATATATAAATTCTCACCTTCATTAATCTCATATCTCCACTTTTTGCCGCTAAATGGTACGCTGTTTGCCCTCGAGCGTTCATTTTTGAAGCTTGAGCGCCGGCTTTTGTGCACAACATGGCCGCTTCATACTGAAATAGATAATTGATTAAGTTTACCATTATATTAATATGCAAATTGATCCAAACTAATTTTTAACCTAATCTAGGCTCACCTGATTGTACTCGCAAGCAATGTGCAGCGGTAAAAGTCCGTCCTCGGTGGGCGTGTTCACAACCCTGAAAACGTGATTTGCACAATGATCTAGGTATCATGAATACATTCAATTATATAATTCTTGATTTAGATTTAGAAATTATACAGGGTGGCGCACAATTATCCGCACTCAGTTCAAATTCACATTTTGAACTTTGATCCCTAATCGAAATTCATTGTTTTCCAGTAAAAATGAGCTAGATTTTGAAACTAATAAGTAAAAAGAAGTAAATGAAGCTGGTTTTCTTTGATTTTGAGTCATTGAAACTAGTTACAAAAACCAAAAAATCGCTATTCCGCCGAAGGAAACGTGTGTCGCAACTTTGCAGCCTCTAGCAAAAGTTTAGAAACTTTTCTGATCAAATCCAGAAAACACATTGCAGGAGAAATATTCAATTTGATAATAAAAAAAAGAATTGGATCGATTGATTGACTCTTCGCTAAGCTGGAGAATCTGAACTGAGTGCGGGTAATTGTGCGCTACCCTATAGAATTTTAAAACATTTTGGACAAAAACTTACACAACAGCGTCTCTTTCGAAGAGAAAGCTCAGCGTTCGGGTCAGTCCGAGCGCCGCCGCCAAATGGATCTGAATTCGATTACAATTAGCATAAAAAGACAAATTGCATATAAGGTTACTTTTTTATATTTAGGCAGATTCTAAAGTAAAACAGCTTTCCAGCACCTCAGTCCAACTCGGATTTTTGAGAGTAAATACAGCGATTCGCTCCAGCTCGTTGTCAGGCAATTGTCGGATTGGGTCTAAAATTGAATATAAAGACAGATTTGGCACTGTTTTGAAGTTCTGCAAAAACAATCATTGAGATCGCTTAAGAATATTAAGTTTAAAGTCAAGGCAATGAAAAGTAGGATTTCGAATATACAGGGTGATTCAAAAGTTCTGAATGTAAAGTATCTGCAAATCTAGATTCAAAAGTTCTGAATGTAAAGTATCTGCAAATCTAGATTCAAAAGTTCTGAATGTAAAGTATCTGCAAATCTAGATTCAAAAGTTCTGAATGTAAAGTATCTGCAAATCTAGATTTAGATCTAGATTAGATTAGTTAAAGTCAAAAAGTGACTGGAAAATATGAAACGGTTCGCTGTTCGCGGGTTGATTTGATAAGTTGAGTTATTTGAAAGTTTTGCTATTAAAAGTTTTAAGGTTCTAAAGATTCTAAAATATTCACTAGATGTAAATTTATTATGCTTTATGATTACCATCGTACAGTCCAGCAAAGAGAAGATTTAGTCGATTGGCGATGATTTTCCCCTCAGCCTCCGGCATACTTTTGATGATCACTTTTTTCGTCGGGCGATAAATCACGTAGAAGACGTTTGATTTGTCCTGAAATCAGTTTTGAATGGAATTTTCTGAACATATAAGATATCCGAATCTTACCTTATACAGCGAAGTGGTCCCATTGTTGTCCTTCAACTCCAATTGTTTCAGTGCAGAGTCGCTGATTGCGGTGATCTAAAAAAGGTCTAATTGTGGCTTCAAGATTTATTGATTAATGGTAATGATTTATCTAATTATCAAAGTCTTTCATACCATTTTGTATCTGATTCACTGTGCACTTTTGCTATTTGTAATAATACCGACAAAACCAACAAAGTCGCGTCAAAGATCTTGCCAGCAAGCCTGATTTATGATTGGCATTGTTATACAAGATCGTTGATGGAATTGAGCTTTTTTTATTATTTTATACCTGTAAATCTCTTGATTCCCTTCTCGTCAGCGTCGACGCGACTCTCCCAACCGCATTTTGAAAGATTTGCTGCACTTCGGGGCTACTTGATGCCAATTGGGAAACGGTTTTGAGAAAATTCATTCTGAAGAACGTTTTAATAAATAGAAATTTAGTTTTAAAGGTAAATGTTTAAGACAGTCGATCATTTTTCTTGAAAACGGCAAAGTTTTATTTCGAAAGAGAATTTTATCACAGCTTTGCAAGGGAGAGAAATCTATTGGTAAAAAACGAAAAAATGGGAAGGCAATAGAAAAATCACATTTTTCGATGGACATGTGAAATTTGTATTATTGGATAACACCGGTAATTTCTACAATTTTTGAGTTTTAATACTGTCATAGTTAGAAAAAAAAATAGATAGAAGTTTCTCAGACTAGTCCATAAAAGTAATTACAAAGCACATTTTTACCATTTTTGTCAAATATCAAATATCTACCATGCATTTGTTTTAATAGAATTGTGCTTTAATACCAAAAATCATTAAAAATCAAGACTCTTACGCAAATTACCACGAAAACCCCAATGATCTCAATATTGTTAAACTAAACATAAAGATTTCAAAAGTTTTAGAGGTTTTGGCAAGTTGGCTTCAATGAATTTTAAATAAGTTAAGGCTGAAAATATAATGAGAGGTGTGCTTTGGGCTAACAATGGAAACACTTCATTTCTGGCGTACTTGATTAGCTTTTCGATTCAGAGAAAACACTATCAAATCCAACTCCAGATCCGAATCTTTATCAAATCCTCACTGAATAGTTGTCTTCCCTTCCTTCTTCTTCTTGTCTTTCTTAATTCTGCCTGGGCAAAGAAGGCGTCGATAGCTCAGTGATAAAGAATCTGTCCGTTACGCAGAAAGGTTCAATCCCCTCCTCAGCTCCAAATTCTTTGCCAGTCGCTTCTTTATTTTACTAGAGAACTTGTTTACCAGATATCTTGCGTTGAAGCTGATATCTGATAGGTTATGGCTTGTTCCAAAACTTCAAATTAGCCTTTTTATACGATTGCAAGATCTGGATTTGGCCTCGATAGTCAATCAAAGCTATGAATTAGCAAAGCTCAATGAAGCTTTGATAGGTTAAGTTTATTCTTCTAGCGCAAAAAAGCAACTAATGCACCCTAATCATCATTGGAATATTTCGGTAGATAAGTATTTACCATAAGAGTCACAGTGAATCAAAAAAAGTGATTTGAATGTCTTACAATTAGACTCAAACCAAAAGAACGGTGATCGAAAGCCTGAGGATTCTCTCGAGTAATTCTTGCGCTGATTGGCAATCGACGAAGAAACGAGTTGCCACATCATCACCCTAAAAAATTGAAGTAATAGAATTTTTCGAAATTTTCTTGTGCCACAAATTTCACAAGGGTTTTCTGATAAGGACATTCGTCTTTGAAGCAAAAAACCGATTGCCTTATCAGATTTGCTTTTTTTCAATGAACGAAAAAATTAAATACAACTTCTAATTGTTTAGATTTCAAATTCTTAACTGAATATTTTTACCAGTAACAAGTTGGCACGATTTCAATGAATTTTAAATGAGTCGAGGCTAAAAATATAATTAGAGGTGTACTTTGGACTAAAAATGGAAACATTCAATTCCCTCCTCAGTTACAAATTCTTTGCCATTCATTTCTTTACTTTGCTAGAGAACTTGTTTACCAGATATCTTGCGTTGAAGCTGATATCTGATAGGTTATGGCTTGTTCCAAAACTTCAAATTAGCCTTTTTATACGATTGCAAGATCTGGATTTGGCCTCGATAGTCGATCAAAGTTCGATGAAGATTTGACAGGTTAAGTCTAGTTCTTCTAGCACAACAGAGGAACCAATGCACTCTAATCATCATTAGGATATTTCGGTAGATAAGTATTTGCCATAAGAATCAAAGAAAGTGATTTGAATGTCTTACAATTAGCCTCAAACCAAAAGAACGGTGATCGAAAGCCTGAAGATTCTTTCGAGTAATTCTTGTGCTGATTGGCAATCGACGAGGAAACGAGTCGCGACATCATCACCCTAAAAAATTGAGGTTGTAATAGAATTTTTCGAAATTTTCTTATACCACAAATTTCACAAGGGTTTTCTGATAAGGACATTTGTCTGAAGCAAAAAAACCGACTGCCTTATCAGATTTGCTTTTTTTCTCAAGGAACGAAAAAAATTTAAATACAACTTCTAGTTGCTTAGATCATAAATTCTTAACTGAATATTTTTACCTGGTATGTGCCAGATGGGAGATTTGTAGCAACAGTTTCCAATTGAACGAGAGCTCCCGTCAACAGGCCACAAAACTCTAGAAAATTGGTCTTGTTCGCTTTTCCCGATGTGGCGAAGATCATTTGGGTGACTTTGGAAAGGATCTGGAATTTGTAAGAGTTAGATTTTAGCTGAAAAAAATTTAGCTAATCAAAGTCGAGCCGAACGATTGATTGGTCAGGTCAAGAACAAGAATTAGATCAAAAATAGTTGGAACTGGAATTCTTAAGGTTTAGATTTTAGTCTTTAGGTTTATTTGACCAAACTCAAACAATCGATTGACTGATCAGCTCAATAAAAAGAACAAGAATCAGACGAACTTTCTAAAAAGTTACAAGGCGTAAAAAACTGTGACGCTAAAAAGTAACAATTTAGCTTTTGGTTTCAAAATTTTAGCCTCTATCGGCCATTAACTATACCTAAATTCATGTTTGCCAAGCAAAGCATTAAGAAAACAAACAAAGGGTTAAAAAATGATTAACAATTATTCACTAGCTATTAAAAATAAAACCATATTAGAATTTTTAAGCAACAAACTATGGGCAAACCATATAACAAGGAGGAAACGAACGAGGGGAGAGAGTACTTTAAAAACGCGCTACAAAAACATAATAGATTTTACGAATGGGGAAAAAACTTAGCGAGACTCGGCATAAAGGCCGGACAAAGTTTACGATTTTATCATGGAATGAAAAAAATTGAAAAGAATGGCAAAAGGGGTATTTTGCGTGGGGTACGGTAGCGCATCCCCGCTTTAGAAAGCGCCGCTCCGCTTTCGCGCCAGTCCCTTAAAACCGTGCGTGAATAAGAACCTAACTTAAGAATGACTTTGGTAGCAGTTAACAAAATGTACCGTACTTTCAAAAAATACGAGCACATAAAGTTAGGCACTCTTTACAATCATATAACTAATTTTTCCTTGTCTAACCTGAACAAACGCCTCAACCACCGAAACGAGTCCATTCACCGAAGTCTTGTACGCTTCTTCAGCTTCGAGAATCATTGCCTCCAAACTTTTGTTGCAAGCCTAAATCAGTGCTTGATTTGTTTAATAAAAAGTATAGAATTTTTAATCTCACCTCTTCATAAACGTTTATCGTAGCACTTGGATCAATTGTAGAGCATAAAGACTTCACAACACGTCGAAGATTTGCCTCAAGCATCGATGAATCGGGCACATCTTTGTGAGCAATGGACGTTAAAAGCTCGTTAACTGTTCTAAAATTTGGCTCATGAATCTGATGAAATTAGTCGACTTTTAAATTAAATTTGCGATTAGCTAATAAACTCTTTAAAAGCAAACCTGGAATTAGTCGGGATTCCTTTTGAAGAAGTCAACAGCTCTAAAGCCTCAACATTTTGCATTGTCGTCGTGGCGCCGATGAGCGACAAAAAGTCGACAACCGGCACGATGTTTGATCTAAAAGTTTTATCCTTAAAAGTTGTTTTGGTTCTTCAAATCAAGGTTGTGTTTTAAAATCAGAATAATCTATCATTTCCGGTCGGCTATTGATGTTAAAGGTGAAAAAAGACGATGTAAACGAGGCACTACTGTTTTACACAACGTACGTACATTTATCAACCGTACTTGAATATACTTCCTTAGACTGTCCGGTGTAATCACTTACCGTATCTCTTGCGAAGACTGTTCGTCTTTGATTCTTTTGAGAAGATCTGACAATGGTTCATCGCTTGATTGATCAAAGAAGAGACGACTTCGGCCTTTCTGAAATGGGAAACATACCTTAGAAATGCAAAATTTTGTCCAAGTTATTATCAAAACCAGCCTGGGTTTGACTCCCGGCTGTGTCGTGACTTTTGGTTTTTAAAAAACGAAATATGAGATGCACAACCACATAGAATTCTAAGCCTAGCAAAGAAAAAATCCTGAAAATCGGCCCACGGGAGCCGAGAGCTCGTTCAATTTTTGATCAATTATTTAATGATCAAGCCCCACTTTGTCTTTAACCGTTAACGTCTCAAAAGTCTTCTTTCCGATTGCTTCAAGTGCATCGAGTCCACCTGTGACAAGGCCGGAGAAGAGGCCAAATGAGGGAACGGTTGAAGGAGAAGCTGATGAAGTGGAGCCTTCTGAAAATTAAATGCAAATTTCCACTTTACATTTAAGATTAGGATAGGTTCAATATTGATATCAAATGTTTTGAACAAACAGTAACTTATAAAAAAGGGCTGTGGGTAGGCTTGGGTTTTGCATACTTTGTGCTTTGCAAGCACTCCCCATTTGGCGCACTTAGGTCATCATTTTTCCCTTGCTTACGCGAGAAAAATGAAGAAGTGAGTGCGCCAGAAAAGAGTGTGTTTCCATTTTTGAGCATAAAATACTGGGAAATACCTGAGCACTTCTTTCTCCAGATGCTTTGCTTTATCCCTATATAAATGAATCCATATTTTAAGCTGTTGGTCAAGAAAAACTAACCAGCCAATGCCTCAAAAGCGCTTCTTTTCGGCGTTTCTTTTGTCCCTTCCTCGATCGTCTCATTTTCTTCAACTTCTCTCTCTTTTTGAGCAAACTCTTCCGCGCTCGGCAGGCCGAAAGTGTTTTCCACGGCTGAGGAAAATGTTTTACCTAAAATTTGAATATCTTGTTATAGTTTTAGCTAATTGCAAGCAATTCTTAAGCCCAACAGGACTATATCTAACTTACTAAATAAAATTTGCTGTTTTTGACCGATTAATAATTTTTCCTAGTGCCGATAAGCATTGTAATTGCCTTAAAAATGGTATTTGTCTGTTTTTCAAAAAAACCCAAGAAGTTTGTCGTTGGAGGGACTCGAACCCATCGCAAAAGGGGGCATGGGTTCTGTGGTTCGGGACACTAGCCTCTAAGCCTCCGCTGATCTTTTTTCACCCGCGTGTGGCGCGTTCTTATTGGTCAGGGGGATTTTTCGAAAATGGCTAAACCTTTAAATACCTTTTTCTCGCCAGGATTTTAATTTGGGCAAAAATTGAACAGATATTTGAAATGCCCATATCCGACTGGTGTTTGCACTCGGAACTTATCCTGAATCCTCAGCACCAGTTTGGATCATTCCCTTGTAAGATCAAAAGATCGCAGCTTTACATTGCCCAGCGCATACTTCTCCGATTACTTTATTAAACTCTTGTATTTGTATGGTTTCTAATTTTAAGGTAAATTCATCGTTTACTAAATGTAAATTTAGTTACCCAATGCGCTGGCGAATCCACCCCATCCTGCTGGCTCGTTCGTCTTCGCTTTGCCCAATTTCATCGAACCTGCTGGCGTTGAGTCCGGCTTCCTGAAAATTCTAATCTTAATCCAAATCTTTTTATTACCATTTTTAACTAACAATTGTATCATCCAACTCACTTCTGCGTCGATTCTTTCTTCGTTTCAGTCTCCCATCCATCATTTCCCCAATCCCAATTCTCTTCTCCTTCCTCCACTTCTTCTGTCGGATCTTTCTTCTCATCGATCTTGTTCTCGGAAATTTGCACCGAAGAAATCGATTCTTCGACTGTTTTCGTGTCTTCATCTAAAGCTTTTATGGGATTATCCGGTAGAGAACAGGGCTGAACTGAAAAAACAAAAGCCAAGGCTAAGAATAAGGCCAGATTTTTTGACAAACGAATACAAAGCCAACCAAGCCAAATCAAAAGTGTCTTCGGAGAGCTACGACTCCGACTATGAATCAGATTCTACAGCTGAATCAATGAATCAACTTTACCTCCCCAAGCATCCCATCCCGATGATTCGTTCTCCTTTTCTTTTTCAGGTTCCTCAGCAGGCTTTGTTTCCTCATTCCTTAGCTCAACCTCCACAGATTTCTCTTCACTTGATTTGCTATCACTTGTATCATCTAAATTTTTCTACAAGTAGATTGCCTTGACTCTGACTAGGGAAGAGTACTAGTTCACCATGAGATTTCGAAACGAGACCTAGCTCAGGATGTTAAATTGCTCTGATCAAAATTAGATAAGAAAATAAAGCAAAATAGTATAAGAAAATCAAAAATATCATTATGAAAAATAAAAAGCAAAAAAGTTTGTCCAGCGGGGGATTCGAACTCACTACAAAGTATCGATCCGTTCCGTAGATAAGCACACTACCCACTAATGCCATGAGCGCCGTTGAAAGAGAAGCGTAAACTCAGCTCAAGAGTGTATAGCAAAAACTTTGATGCCAGAAATTTGGAAACCAGAAATAAGAAGCCAGAAATTTGCGAGCTATTCAGCAGATTTTGATTACAGATTCGGATTCCCTTTTTTTGTTGGATGTTGGATGGGTTGGATGGGCTAGGTCTCGTTTCGAAATCCCATTGTGACCTAGTACTATTCCCTACTGAGGTACTAAAGTTTTCAAAATGAATTTACTCACCCGACAATGTGATCGGTGTCGGGAGATCAGTAACGACGAATTCCTCGCTACTGCTGCTCTCTTTTTCCACCTCGTTCAATGTAACTGATGCTTCTTCTGAAAAGATACCTAATCAATATCGTTTTTGATTTTTGCTGACAAGGGAAAGGCAACAGTAGGATGTGAGATAAGCCATAGACCAGTATAAACATTTCAAATAGTTTTAAGGCCAGATAAAATTCAGGTGTTAAAGCATCAAAAGTTTTGCCAAAAAGGAATCGAACTCGAACAAAAAGGCAATACTCGAGCGCTCGTTTTGTATGCAAGCGTCCACTACAACACTATAACAACCAGTCACGTTTGACGCCCGTGAGGAAATCCTTATAAAGGCCTCCCGGTACTAGGGCTCGGTTATAACCCCCATGCATCAAGTGCGGTTATAGCCCCCCGTTAACATATAAGCCAAATTAGCATATAAACCAAAACAAAGGATCAACAACGACAGTTCATTTTTATTTTTTGAGTCATCGAGTTTTTTCAAGCGAAGGAATTCTTCCAAAATAACGCGACTGCCCCAACCACCACTCAATGTCGTTCTCTCTCAATCGCAAAGCCCCGACTTGGAGACGCAGAAAAACAGAATGTCGAATGGAGACGGAGCTCTGCAAATGAACATGGTTCGAGGGCAACCGGCTCGAATATCTCGCAATGTTGCGTTTCATCTAGAGCCAGGAACTGACGTCGGAAGGTTTCTGTGATCGCGAGCTTGGTATGCGCAAGACTACAACCATCGATTTCAACAACTACATTTTTGAAAAATACCTGACATTTTTAAAATTCAAATTTTGGGGGGAGGGAGTTATAACCATACTGATGCACAGATGGATTTGGGGGATTATAACCGCACTTGATGCATGGGGGTTATAACCGTCTTAGTACCGGCCTCTTATTCGGCTCCAAATTTCACCATTTTCACGCTAAAACTTAAATACACGTATAACTTTTTATAGAAAGCCATTTTGCAAACATGGAAAGCAGCTTCAGAATCAGCGTGAAATTCTGCGCCGAATGGTCTATGGCTTATCTCATTTGACCACATCCTAATGTTGCCTTTCCCTTGTGAGTTTGCAGCTTGTTCTACTAGGTGTGCTTACAAATTGCAGCTATTAGATAGCTGATACTTATTTATCTTGTCCCAAGTCGAATAAAACGCAAATTTCAATATCACGTTGGTACTTTATATTTATAAAAGTTGTTATCTTGTTGCAGGTTTACCTGACGACTCATCTGTGGATGGTTTTCGTAGCTCAACAAAGACATTCTCTTCCTTTTGCTTGGGTGCCTCGAGTAGCTCTGGTTCTGAGGGGATCGATTTGATCGTGTGCTTTTCCCCTTGGACTTGTTCTGCTTTTGGAGTATCTAAACCTTTGATAGACATTCCCTTTGTAATACATTTTCCATAGTACCAATCTATTGATCTATTTTTAGGTGCAATTAATACCTGTTTTCTTTGATGCTTTTGTTTTAGCTGGTGCCTCTTCGTCTCCAGAGGAGGCCGAGAAAAATTCATCTTCGGAATCCATCTGAAATTTTTAGATATTGTAAAATGCTTAATAAATCCATGGAAAACAGTGTTAATAGAAAATTGTCAAGAAGAAGTAGAGAATCCAGAAAGTCATTAGCGTTTTGCTTTTCCATCGATTGAGTAAATGATGTTTGGCTTCAAGTTTCTGATGAAACAAAGAAAAACTCTTTATTTTTAGACTTACTTTTTGCCCAATTTTGTGCTTGTTTAGAGTTTGCAAAAGTAGAAACGAATTTTGGGCCCAGAATTTGCCGCGAAGAAGAAAAGGGCGAAATTGGCTCAGTCACTGGCCGCTCTTTATTCCGGATTCCGAAAGGAAAGCCTCTTATACCGGAGCGGTTTGCCAGATGGAGAGCGATTATGTGGCCGCACAAAGAACACCTCGCCAGTCATTTATTTACGGATTTTTCTTTTGCTTTGTAGATGGGATAAAAAGATATTCAGCTGTAAATTTGTATCTGTGGGTTTTCGGGGTCGGGGAATCGATTGGAGCTATTTATTTTCTTGAGTCTACTAACTAGAATCCGGGTTTTACAGCAACGAATTGGAAAGCGCCACAAAGAACACCTCGTCACTGCAAATTTGACCGAAATGGACTACGAATGATGTAAAACGATTCTGTTGATGAAAATTGAAATAGTTAAGCTAAAGATAAATGTAAACTAAAGTAGTATTCAATAAAAAATCCCCTTTCAACCAATTACACAGGAAATGTGGCACTTTTGCGTGTTTTCTCTCTCTTCGTCTGTGCTCTGACGAGGGGCACGATTTAGCAAAGAGGGAAAGTGTTTAAACAGTCAAAAAGAAAGGTCTTTACAAAAGGGGAAAGATATTCAGTAAAATGGAGAGAAAAGAAAGATATTCAATGAGAAGACTGAATGATTGGAGAAGGATGAGACTGCCTTGTCGTTTCTCCTTTCTCTTTGATCCATTCTCCCTAAACTATCCCATCCACACAAAGCCTTTTCTTTTTTGCACACCATCAATAAATGTTCAACCTTGGGGGTTGAATTTGAAAAAAATCAATTTCCATTTGAATCCAATTTCAATTTGCATATTTTTATTAACAAATTTATTTCATTTTGTTTTAAATGATGATTAAATGATGCAAAAAAAATTGCAAAGACCTTTTTTTTTTGACAAAATTTCTCCCCAAAGAATTGTTTGCTTTTCTTTATGGCTTAGGGCTTAGGCTTAGGCTTAGGCTTAGGCTTAGGCTTAGGCTTAGGCTCAGGCTCAGGCTTTATTTTTAAATGTAAAATTTTCGATCCAAATTATAAATAATTTAAATCGAAATTTAGCTTTTAAATGGAATCAGAGATCAGAGCTCTTAAACTTACAACCTATTTGGGTATAGAAAAATTGCCTTTACATGCTAATCTTCTATCGAAATTTGGAAAAGCTATTAAAGCTTTTCATAGTAATCATTTTGGGTATAAATTTGCTAGGATTCAGTTTAAAAATGAAAAAAAATGAAAGATAAAATTTCTCTGACTGTGTTACATCTATTTTCCAGGAAACGACTCATGTTTATGCTAAAATCGATGATGCAAAACTCTCTTTCCCCCCAAATTTCCATCATAAGCAAAACAAATGTGTCAACTAAAATGAAATGACGAAAAAGTTTTTGTTTTTCTTTTACATTTATTTAATTTTTAAATCGTTGTCAAAAAATGGATTGAACAAGATGGTAGTAAATGAATTTGCATAAACCTTATCATTCCTTTTTATATTTTCGCTGAAAAATAACAAATCCATCAATTAACCGATGGTTTGCTTTAAATAAAAAATGTTCATTGTTTAATTTCCCATCTTTTTCAGTCAATTTGGGTTGACTTTCAAGCAAAAACGACAGTGAAAAGGTGTTTTTTAGTAAAAGTCTTTAAAAGCCTTTACGAAGAAATTGGCTGAATGGATTTCTCTGAAAATTTCCCTGAATTTAGCTATATACCAAACTTTTTGTGCTCTATTTTTATCTATTGACATCAAGATCGGTTTCTTTAGCTAAAGTGTTTAAACGGCATTATCGAGCCGCATTTTTGACTGCCCCGACTTCATGATCACAAAAAATTCAAGCAAAAGACACTTTAAACCCGTTTGAATGTTATTTTGGCAGAAAAATAATTGGTCTTTCTAATGAAATAAACCGTTTTTCCATCGGTGCATTTGTTGATTTTAAACGGAAGTACGAAAAGAAATGAAAAGACTTTCTGGACAGCCTAATAATTTCTAATTTCTAATTGATATTGCAATTTTTACATTTTAGCTCATTATGTCACACTTTCTTCCTTTCAATTTTGAATTGTAAAACGAGAACTTGAAATTGTTCAAAATGAGATAGGAAAGAGGGAATTTCAAATTGCGCAAGTGACAAGTGACATTACACAGAAAGTGCGCGGTCAAGGGAAAAGAATGATCGGAAAGAATGGCCTCAAATTTTACCCCTTTCCTCTTCGAATCTTGACTTCCATTCAACTTCTAATCACAGAACCAGTTCGCATTTCTTCAAAATCTCTGACAATATGCAATTCTAAATCTTAAACTGATTAGAAAGTTTAAAAAGAAATTCAAAATTTTTTTTTTGTTTTTTGAAATCCCTTGTGTACTTTGTGCTTAAAAAAAATCAAATCACACCCTTTCTTGTGCACTGATTTCTTTCATTTTTCTCGTTTCAACAATATCGAATTAACAGAAAAGCCCCAGAAAAGGTGTGTTTTTGAGAAAAACACATTTTAACAAACATTGAAACCCATGCTTTTAAAAACAAATAGATTTTTCAAGAATAATTCATTCGCTTTCATTTAGCATTCACAGCTTTCACCTAAAACTCTGTTCCATTTCATTCATGAATCGTTTACTCATTGTCATTTCAATTGTTTTTCTATTCCATCTCAATCGTTTATTCATTGTCAGTCATTACTTTTACATTTCCAATTTCATAACCAGCGCTCAGTAAACAAATATTGTGTAAAACATAAATCTGCTTGCATTCTTCACTTTCTTTTACTTAATAATCACAAAGTTTAAGATTTATTTTATATTAAAATCATCTGGGAATCCATTTCAAAATCGAATTTCCTATTTTTGTTCTTTGTGTGTTCTTTGTGCGCGCACACAATCGCCCTCCATGTGGCATCCCTTCTCAATAGATACCGCTCCCTTTCTCTCGTTCCCTATCGCTTCTGGCCTCTGGCTAAGATCAATGTGTAGTAACTGTTCTTATCGGCTTAGTCTCCGGTACGAGTTCTATTGAACTCATCGAGATTAACCAATTTTTGGTCCTCGTACGGTTTGTAGTAAGCTTGCTTCTCGCCGTTCAGTGTCGGCCCGCTATTGCACTTAAGGCGGGATCGGCGCACACCCCCAGTGATGGGGGAACAAAAAAGGCACGAAAAAGAAACCCAAAATGGAAAGTTTTATCAAAAATTTGAAGAAAACCATTCTTGAAACTTTCTACTAAGTATTTTGTACTCAAAAACGTCAAATTATCCAAGAGTTGCAAAAACGGAAAAAATGAAGAACAAACCTGGCGAATTATTCAAAAATTATCCCAGAGCTTTAGCAACAAATCTTCCGGATCCACGTTTTTCGGTGTGTATTTCTCGAAAATCGCCGCCATTTCCCCGATCAATCAAAAGTGATCCATTCTCTCATTTTTCTTCCCTTTACGAGATTCGTCTTTGATTTTTGTTGGGTCGTTTTTAGCAAACTATTGGGAAACTTTGTACGGCTATTGGCTAAATTTAGGCCTTTTTTTGGGGGAAATCATTTGACTTTTAGGATAAATTTCAGACATTTTTGGTTCTTATTCTTGGTTCAAACATTCAGAAATTCTTGATAAAAACAGAAGCTTCTGGCAGGAAGGGGACAAAAGCCAAAAAGTCTTTGATTCCTTATCAATCTTTCAGTTTGGCTGTATACTTCATTTTTTGGCTTCTTGCTGTATTCGTTTTAACCTTGGTTTGGCAAATCAATTGCTTGATGTACTTTTTGCTCAAGTATTTTATGTAAACGCATCCCTTCTGGCACACTCGATACATTATTTGGAACTTTTTTTTGAAATTTTGAACTTTAAACTTTTTGACAAACTTTTCTATCAAAATTTCATCCTTGACTTGCTCTTTGAAATGTATTTTGTGTTTGAAAATGGAAACACACCCTTTCTAGTGCACTAGATTCCTAATTTTATTGAGATGCAAAGTAGTTGCTTTGAGAAAAATAAAGAATTAAGTGCGCCAGAAGGGGTGTGTTTAGCCAGTGTTGAGCACAAAGTACATTGAGCTGAAAACTTTTGAAATTCTCCAAAATGTCAATCGTGACGCAAAATTCAATGAAATATGTTCGTGAATCAGAAAAACTGCTAAACTTTTGTGTTGAAAGTCTAGAATCTTTTGCAATGATGTAAAGTAAGATAAGGAAAAGCTTTAATGATTGAAAATTATTCATTTTTGCGAATGATTTGAAAATGATTCATTCAGCAATGAAACTTTTAATCAATTCACAAATCTCTGATTAATTTTAAGTGTACTTTGTGTAAAACTAATTAAACACACTTTTTCTATTGCACTAAACTCTTCGTTTTCTCACGGAAAGAGTTTAGTTTAACAAGAGAAAATGAAGAATTCAGTGCACTATAAAGGTGTATTTCTATTTCACATTAGATCTCTAAATAAGCTCAGCACTCTTTTCTTTCCTTTTTCAGAGCTGAACCATTTGTTACTTGTTTGTAAATTTTCTGTTGCTGATACAATTTTTTTAGCTCATAACAATCCACCAATTTACTTCAAAATCTCTGTATTCTAAATCTCCAAATGTCTGATCATTCATCAGAAGATGGGGGTTCGATTGACGGAGATCTTCCACCAGCACCAATACGAGGTTTTCGACGGACCGAAGGTTTTTTAAATAGATTTATTCACACAAATAATGCGGTACAAACAATACATAAGCACAACGCCTAGCGCTCAACCCCTAACCCCTAAATGTAGAGAAGAAGAA